TTTGGGTGGAATTTGGGTGGAATTTTCACATTTTCATGGGAATTTTGGGAATTTTTTGGGGTTTTTTGGGATCCCGGATATTTCTGGGATATTCCCGGATAATTTTGGGCTGAATTCCCGGGATTTTGGGATTTTCCAGCCGCCAAGGAGCTCCAAAACCCCTCAAAAACGGAATTTTGGGGGGAATTTTTGGGGAATTTGGGTGGAATTTTCACATTTTCATGGGAATTTTGGGAATTTTTCGGGGTTTTTTGGGATCCCGGATATTTCTGGGATATTCCCGGATAATTTTGGGCTGAATTCCCGGGATTTTGGGGTTTTGCAGACGCCAAGGGGCTCCAAAACCCCTCAAAAATGGAATTTTTGAGGGAATTTTTGGGGAATTTGGGTGGAATTTTTGCATTTTGGTGGGAATTTTGGGAATTTTTCTGGGATCTTGGAATTCCCAGATAATTTTGGGCTGAATTCCCGGGATTTTGGGATTTTCCAGCCGCCAAGGAGCTCCAAAACCCCTCAAAAACGGAATTTTGGGGGGAATTTTTGGGGAATTTGGGTGGAATTTTCACATTTTCATGGGAATTTTGGGAATTTTTCGGGGTTTTTTGGGATCCCGGATATTTCTGGGATATTCCCGGATAATTTTGGGCTGAATTCCCGGGATTTTGGGGTTTTGCAGACGCCAAGGGGCTGTCGAACGCGGCCGAGGTGGAGCTGCTGCGGGAGAAGGTTTACGCCTCGCTCGAGTCCTACTGCAAACAGAAATACCCCGAGCAGCAGGGCAGGTCCGCAATTCCCGGGAAAAACCGGAATTCCCGGGAAAACGGCGGGGATTCCCGGGAAAACAGCGGGAATTCCCAGAAAAACGGCGGGAATTATGGGAAAAACGGCGGGAATTATGGGAAAAACGGCGGGAATTATGGGAAAAACGGCGGGAATTCTGGGAAAAATGGCAGGAATTATGGGAAAACGGCGGGAATTCCCAGAAAAACGGCGGGAATTATGGGAAAAATGGTGGGAATTCCAGGAAAAACAATGGGAATTATGGGAAAAACGGCGGGAATTATGGGGAAAACGGTGGGAATTCCGGGAGAAATGGCGGGGATTCCGGGGAAAATGGTGGGAATTCCGGGAAAAATACTGGGAATTCTGGGAGGAAAAACAACGGGAATTCAGGGGAAAAAGAGTGGGAATTTTGGGGAAAAAACAGCGGGAATTCCCAGAAAAACAGTGGGAATTCCAGGAAAAACAATGGGAATTCCAGGAAAAAACAACGGGAATTCTGGGGGGAAAAAAGAGCAGGAATTTGGGGAAAAAACCAGCAGGAATTCCCAGAAAAACAATGGGAATTCCGGGAAAAATGGCGGGAATTCTGGGGAAAACAACGGGAATTTGGGAAAAAGAACAAAGAAGAATAAAAAGGGCAAAAAATGGGGGGAAAATGGGAAAAAAATGGGAAAAAAATGGGAAAAAAATAGGAAAAAATGGGAAAAAGTGGGGAAAAAGGGAGAAAAAAAGGGAAAAAAAGAGGAATAAAAAGAGGAAAAAAAGGGGAAAAATGACAAAAAAATGGGGAAAAAAAAGGAATAAAAAATGGGAAAAAAAAGGGAAAAAAGGACAAAAAATGGGGAAAAAATGGGAAAAAAGAGGGAAAGAAAGGGAAAAAAATGGGGGAAAAGGGAGCAAAAAATTAGGAAAAAATGGCAAAAAATAAGGGAAAAAAATGGCGAAAAAATAGAAAAAAATGGCGAAAAAATAGGAGAAAAATGGGAAAAAATGGGAAAAAATAGGGAAAAATGGGAAAAAAGTGGAAAAGTGGGAAAAAGGCTGGAAAAATCCGAATTCCCAGGAAATTCCGTGGTTTTTTTGCGGGTTTGCCAAGGTGCTGCTGCTGCGGCTCCATTGGGCTGAGGGGGGAATGAAAAGGGGGAAAAATGGGAATAAAAATGGGAATAAAAAGGGGAAAAATTTGGGAAAAAAGGGGAAAAAATTGGGAAAAAATTGGGAAAAAAGGGGAATAAAAAGGGGAATAAAAGGGGGAAAAAAGGCAAAAAAATGGGAAAAAAGAGGGAAAAAATGGGGAAAAAGGGAAAAAGTGGGAAAAGGAATAAAAAAGGGGGAAAAGAGGAATAAAAAGGGAAAAAATGGGAAAAAATGAGGAAAAAATGGGAAAAAATGAGGAAAAAAAGGGGAAAAAAATCAGAAAAAAATGGGAAAAAATGGGAAAAAAAAGGGAATAAAAAGGGAGAAAAAAAGGGAAAACAGGACAAAAAAATGGGGGAAAAAAAAGGAATAAAAAGGGCGAAAAAAATGTGAAAAAAGAGAAAAAAAAAGGCAGAAAAAAGAGATGGAAAGGCCAAAAAAATGGGGAAAAAAGAGGGAAAAATGGGGAAAAAGGGAGCGAAAAAATGGGAAAAAAGTGGGAAAAAATGGGAAAAAATGGGAAAAAATGAGGAAAAAAATGGGAAAAAATGAGGAAAAATGAGGAAAAATGGGAAAAAAATTGGGAAAAAAGGGGAATAAAAAGGGAAAAAAAGGGGAAAAAAAGGCAAAAAAATGGGAAAAAAATGGGAAAAAATGGGGAAAAAGGGAAAAAGTGGGAAAAGGAATAAAAAAGGGGGAAAAGAGGAATAAAAAGGGCAAAAAACGGGGGAAAAAGGGGGAAAAATGGGAAAAAAATGGGAAAAAGTGAAGAAAAAAATGGGAAAAAAGGGCAAAAAATCAGAAAGAAATTGGAAAAAAGGGGAAAAAATGGGAAAAAAAAGGGAATGAAAAGGGGAAAAAAAGGGAAAACAGGACAAAAAATGGGGGGAAAAAAGGGAATAAAAAGGTAAAAAAAAAGGGAAAAAAGGACAAAAAAAAGGCAAAAAAAGAGATGAAAAGGCAAAAAAAAGGGAAAAAAAGAGGGGAAAAATGGGAAAAAAGGGAGCGAAAAAATGGGAAAAAAGTGGGAAAAAATGGGGAAAAAATGGGGAAAAAATGGGGAAAAATGGGAAAAAAGTGGGAAAAAATGGGGAAAAAAGTGGGAAAAAATGAGGACAAAAAGGGAAAAAAATAGGGAAAAAATGGGAAAAAATGGGGAAAAAAAGGGAAAAAATAGGGGAAAAAATGAGGAAAAAAAGGGAAAAAAATAGGGAAAAAATGGGGAAAAAAAGGGAAAAAATAGGGAAAAAAGTGGGAAAAAAGTGGGAAAAAATGAGGAAAAAAATAGGGAAAAAATGGGAAAAATAGGGAAAAAAGTGGGAAAAAATGGGGAAAAAATGAGGAAAAAAATAGGGAAAAAATGGGGAAAAATGGGAAAAAATGGGAAAAAAGTGGGAAAAAATGAGGACAAAAAGGGAAAAAAATAGGGAAAAAATGAGGAAAAAATGAGGAAAAAATGAGGAAAAAAATGAGAAAAAAATGAGGAAAAAAGGGAAAAAATAGGAAAAAATGGGAAAAAATGGGGGAAAAATGAGGAAAAAAGGGAAAAAAATAGGGAAAAAATGGGAAAAAATGGGGAAAAATCGGAAAAAAGTGGGGAAAAATGAAGAAAAAAAGGGAAAAAAATGGAAAAATGGGGAAAAAATGAGGAAAAAATGAGGAAAAAAATGAGGAAAAAAAAGGGAAAAAATGAGGAAAAAAAGGGAAAAAAGTGGGAAAAAATGGGGAAAAAATGTGGAAAAAAATGGGAAAAATTGATGAAAAAAAGGGAAAAAATAGGAAAAAAATGGGAAAAAAATCGGGGAAAAAACGGGCAAAAAGTGGAAAAGTGGGAAAAAAGGCTGGAAAAATGCAGAATTCCCAAGGAATTCCATGTTTTTGGTTTTTTTTTTTTTTGCAGGTTTGCCAAGCTGCTGCTGCGGCTGCCGGCGCTGCGCTCCATCGGCCTCAAGTGCCTGGAGCATCTTTTCTTCTTCAAACTCATCGGGGACACCCCCATCGACACCTTCCTCATGGAGATGCTCGAGGCTCCCCACCAGCTCTCCTGAATTCCCAAATTCCCAACCCTTTCCCGCTTTTTGGGTTTTTTTTTTTAGGAATTTTTATTTCCCCTTTCCTTCCCCGAAAAAATCCCGATTTTTTTTTTTCGCTTTTTTTTGGCGTTTTCGGCTCCGTTTTTCCTTCCCCTCGTTGCTCCCTATGGGTGCTCAAGGGGGTGAAATTTGGGAAAATCTCCCTCAAAAATAACCTGGAAAGAATTCCCGACTTTTCCCCAATTTTCCCTGATTTTTCCTGATTTTTTCCCAATTTTTCCCCATTTTTCCCATTTTTTCCCCATTTTTTTTCCCAATTTTTTGGCGTTTTCGGCTCCGTTTTTCCTTCCCCTCGTTGCTCCCTATGGGTGCTCAAGGGGGTGAAATTTGGGAAAATCTCCCCAAAAATAACCTGGAAAGAATTCCCGACTTTTCCCCAATTTTCCCTGATTTTTTCCCAATTTTTCCTGATTTTTTCCCATTTTTTTTCCCAATTTTTTGGCGTTTTTAGCTCCGTTTTTCCTTCCCCTCGTTGCTCCCTATGGGTGCTCAAGGGGGTGAAATTTGGGAAAATCCCCTCAAAAATAACCTGGAAAGAATTCCTGACTTTTCCCCAATTTTCCCCAATTTTTCCCAATTTTTTCCCAATTTTTACTCCTTTTTTTCCCCACTTTTCCCAACTTTTTTCCCCATTTTTCCCAATTTTTCCCGATTTTTTTCCCAATTTTTTACTCATTTTTCCAAATTTTTTTTTCCCAATTTCCCCCCATTTTTCCCAATTTTTTACTCATTTTTCCAGATTTTTTTTCCCAATTTCCCCCCATTTCTCCCAATTTTTTTCTCATTTTCCCCATTTTTCCCCATTTTTTTTCCCAATTTCCCCCCAAATTTTCCCCAATTTTTCCCCATTTTCCTACAATTTTTCCAGATTTTTTTCCCAATTTTACCCCAATTTTTCCCAATTTTTTTTCAGTTTTTCCCAATTTTTTCAGATTTTTTTCCAATTTTGTCCCTAATTTTTCCCCAATTTTTCCCCAATTTTTTCCCAATTTTTTCCTCAATTTTTCCCAATTTTTCCAGATTTTTTCCCCATTTTTTTACCAGTTTTTCCCAATTTTTTTCCCAATTTCCCCTCATTTTTCCCCAATTTTTTCCCAATTTTTTCCCAATTTTTTCCTCAATTTTTCCCAATTTTTTCCTCAATTTTTCCCATTTTTTTGCCAGATTTTCCCAATTTTTTTCCCAATTTTCCCCTTTTTTCCCCCAATTTTTTCCCCCATTTTCCCCAATTTTTTCCCAATTTTTTCCCAATTTTTCCCCCCATTTTTCCCAATTTTCCCATTTTTTCCCCCATTTTTGCTCCCTGTGGGTGCTCAGGGGGGGAAATTTGGGAAAACCCCTCCCCCCTCCCCAATTTTTGGGAAAACTTCCCAAATTTCCCCCAAATTTTCCCAAATTCTTCCCAAATTTTCCCTTTCGTGTCTTCGGGGCCAATTTGGGGCCCCTCCCCCCTCCCCTTTTGGGAGAAATTCCCAAAAAAAT